TTCTCCGGCATAAAACTCCTCCTAGGCTTTTTCCCTCAGGAAAGTAAGAAAAACAAAGGCTAAGACCTTCCCTTGAAATGAAGAAAGGGCAATGACCAAAATTAATTCTTATTTAGATGGAATCTTTGTCTCCCTCCCCACCTAGAGAGATTGGTGCTAGACCCACCTGAGGACTAATTTTCTCTTTTGAAATTCTGGAATGTTAATCTCAAACAGTATTTTAATATTTTATGATCTTTTCCATGTTCAAGATGCCCATGAAGGTTTCTAAAATTGTTTTGGAGCAGATGATGTTGGAAGGCTTGAAAGACTATGCCAGCATGGATACCTCTTTCCAAGCTAGAAATGCCTTGGATATACATTAATTTTAAATTCACTAAAATTATTTTTATCAGCCTAAATACCAGAGTACATTATTATTAATAATGTATACATACATATATGCACATACATGTATATACACACATAAATGTGTGTATTGTCATACACACCACACACAGGCACGCAAACACACACACACATATATATACATATATATATACATAGAGAGAGAGAGAGTCCCCCTCCTTTGGCACAAAATGGATATCAAATGAGGTTCAGGTTGTCAGAGGCCAAACAATATTTATCTTTATTATAATATTTACTTCCATAATCATTGGGCTTAAATTTTGGAGAAGACAGGCTTATTTGCCAACTAGCCCAGGATGGCAGGGAGGATTGTCATATGGCTGCCCTGTTTCTGGATCTGTAACTTTAGTGAATAAGGAAGCATCATTATCCTTCCATAGAAATGCAAAGTTGATGATAAGCAAATGATTACTGGGGTGTTTGAGCCTTTTACAAAGAGTTTTATATGTATACATATGTGTGTGTATATATATATACATACACATACAAACATACACACATATATACATCCATACATACATATACGAACGTGTTTTCTGTATCTAATCCAAATGTTTCCTAAGTAAAAGCAAACATGCATGCGTACAATGAATTCATTGACTTAATGGTTAATAAAAAAAAATTTGTGCATCTATTTTAATGACTATAGTGGTAACATGTTTCTAGACAAGAAAAGAGAAAAGATTCATTTCTCTAACTCTTAGGGATAGGTCAGTTTAACAGAAAAGTAAAGAAGAGATTTCTGTAAGAAAGTGCAAAAGAAGTTCTTCATTAGAGGCTTCTTAGCCTCTAATGTGTAGGTTGTTTCTGAGAGGACAGGGTATGAGTGGAGCTTCCCAAAGAAAGCTGTTTACCTTTGTATCTCAAAGGCCATAATGGATGTTGGTCCTCTCTGGTCAAGAGTAAGCCTTTTCCATCCTTTCCCACCCCTTTTGACCAATGCAAAACAACCCATTTTGGGAAGACCCACTCAAATCCTGTCCTTGTAGAAAAACAGTATACATGTGTAAGAAGACCAAGAGAGAGATGGGGGGGGGGGTGGTAATACCACTACTGATATTTTTTTTAAGTTAGTGTAATACATATATAGTGTTGCATGCTAACAAGTATTTCTATGTAGAAGGGATTCAATCTTTGGATGTAAAAATAATGTAGCAGTTGCCTTCTTTTGATCTTTCTCCTGATCTCTCATCCTTCGTGGCCCAATATAAAGACTGACCTAGTTGATCATACCACTTGGGTGAGCTGGAAGTCACCAAGTCTCAACTGGTACCCACAGTCCTTCTGGTGGGATGAAAAATGACTGGACCTTGACATCACCCATGCCACTGAATCCCATGGCCCTCTGGGTCTGACAATCTGCTTGTCACTAGCTCCCCTCAGAGAATTTCCATTCAGTCCCCTGAGAAGTGATCAGTGGGACTTGCCAGCAGTCCTGCTGTTCCACTGTCAGAACTTGCAGCCCTTTCCATCTGCCCTGCAGCTGCTGACTTCTCTCACATGCTCTGTCTGTCACAATTAGATCATGAGCTTTTCAAGAGCAGGAACTATCTTTACTTTTTTCTACTTGAATCCCCAGCCCCTGGCACAGTCTTGGCACATAGGTGTTTAATAAATGCTTTTGAAAAACTCATTCACTCATTCATTCTTCATGTTTGAATCTTTCTTTCTGAATAGCTATTCCCTGAAGTGACTGTCTTAGAAGGAAGAAAGATGGTTCAATATTTAATATGTGGGGAAAAAAAGTTTGACATATTCATTTTCCCAAATATTTTAATATGTAGAGCAATTAGAAGAAATAAAGCATAGGAATAAACATTAGTAATAATATATACTTGTTACAGCTCTTAACAAAAGGAATGACTGCAAAATAGAGAGCTCTTGTCTGTAATACCTCTTCCTAAGAAAGTTACTAATGGAGTTCTCCCCTAGTCTTTACTTCAGTGATGCCTCTTGGATCCCTGCTCAATAGTCAAGTCCTCTATAAAGTAATAAACTGAGGAGCTAGGATCTGCTATATTGAAAATGGGAGAGGCAAGATTCTTTTGAGATGAACTAGAAAAAGCTATTGTGAGCAGCTGGGCAAAGCATAGAAAACATCATCAGGAAAAAGGGGAGAGGTTTATTTTCCTTCTCTTGATGCACCTGTCAATCTACTCTTATAACCTTGAATATATGTTCTTTCAGACCTCCATACATCCTTTCAGTTTTAAACATAAAAGCACATCCAGAAATCTTACAGGGAGATAGGCCTTAAAGTGTTCCAAGGAATGTGAGAACAGAGAGAGCAGACATGAGAGTGGAGATGAGAGCAGAGAGAGCACAGATAAGAGTGGAGATGAGAGTGGAGATGAGAGCAGAGATGAGAGCAAAGATGAGAGCAGAGATGAAAGTGGAGAGAACAGAGATAAGAGTGGAGAGAGCAGAGATAAGAGTGGAGATAAGAGCAGAGATAGCAGAGATGAGAGCAGAGAGAGCGGAGATGAGAGTGGAGATAAGAGTGGGGACGAGAGTAGACCTCCCTCCATCTTTGCGTTTCAGAGTTGAGCTCAGGCAGAAACTTCTCAGTTTGTTCTTATGGTAAGACATGCAGACTTGGTTTGAGTTTTCCTTGTGATTATTTCTAGTCCTGTAACCTTGGACAGCTCACTTACATTCTCTGAAGCTCCCATTTTACACACCTTTACTAGCCATACAACTGAGCAAGTCTCTTCACTTTTCTGAGCTTCAATGTCCTCATCTGTAATGCAGATAACAAGAGCACCCATGTCCTTGTTGTGACGATCAAGGAGATACCAGAAGTAAGGAGCATTACAAATTTTAAAGGGTTATATAAATCCTAGATACGTATATCAATGATTAGTATTAATTATTATTAATTATAAATATAAATAATAATAATTAACATAAACACGTAATATTAATTACAACCTTCTGTTGACAACCTATGCTTCTGTCCCATATTCTCCAGGGCTTGGGATATACACCCAGAGTCTTTTATTTTATTTTATTTTATTTTATTTTATTTTATTTTTAGTTTATAGAATAAAACAAGCATTTTCATAACATAGTACAATAAAAAGGTGATTGTACATGAAACCACAAATCTACTATGCACAACTTGCTCTTCCCTTCAAATATACAACAAAATCATCATGTATTTTTTTCCTGGTTTTTCTTTCCTCCCTCCTCTCACCCTAGAGATGGCTACCATTGTACACAAATATATATGTGTGTATGTGTGTGTGTGTTTGTGTGTGTGTATACACATATATACATATACATATATACACACATTTGTGTGTATAAAATTATTCTATACATACTTCCATTTATCAGCTCTTTGTCCAGATGCAGATAACATCTTTCTTCATATGTCCTTTATAGTTAATTTGGGTATTTATAAAAGACAAAAGAACTTATTTGCTCAAAGTCATTCTTAAAACAATATTGCTGTTATTGTATACAATGTTCTCTTGGTTCTGCTCATTTAGTTCTTTATTATTTCATGCATGTCTTTCTATGTTTTCCTAAAATCAATTAAACTCATCGTTTCTCATCACACAGTAGTATTCCATCACAATCATATACCACAACTTTGTTCAGCCATTCCCAAATGATGGGCATTCCTACAATTTCCATTTCTTTGCCACCACAAAGAGAACTGCTATAAACATTTTAGAACATATAGATTCTTTTCCTTTTTCCCTAACCATCTTGGGAAATAGATCAAGTAGTGGCATTGCTGGGTCAAAGGGTATAGGTAGTTTAATAACTTTTTGGTTATAATTCCAGATTACTCTCCAAAATGGGTGGATCAGTTCATGATTCCACAAACAACAAAGTAGTGTCCCAATTTTCCCACATCCCCTCCAACATTTGTCACTTTCTCTTTCTATCATTTTAACCAATCTGGTATGTATAAAATGATATCTCAAGGTTGTTTTAATCTGTATTTCTCTATTCAATAATGATTTAGAGCATTTTTATTGTGATTATATATATATGATATTATGATTATAAATTTTTTAGATAACTTCATTGGAAAACTGCCTGTTCATATCCTTTGACCATTTAGCAATTGGGTAATGACATCTTCTTATTCTCTGGATATTCTACCACAGTCCAGTTCCTGCCCTCCCCTCCTCTCTGTATCTGTCTCTGTCTCTCTATCTCTTTGTCTATGACCCAATCTTCTTTCTGTCCTTCCTGCACTTGGTAGGTTAAACAAACTCAAACATTTACTATTTATCACATGTGATGCTGCATTCCCCATCTCCCGTCTTTGCACCAGCCTTCTGCTGTTCTTGCAATTGACGCCTTCCTCACTTCTGCATATCATACTATATCCCCTGTATTTCTGACTTTGCCCTGGCTACTCCTACATGGAATGCACTTCTTCCTCAACTCCCCCTCTCAGAATTCCTAGTTTCCTTTGAGATTCAGCTAGGCACCACCTTGCTTATGAGACCTTTCCTGATCCCACCAGCTTCTAGTGTCTTTTTTTCCCAAAATTCACATTTATCTACATTACATCTGATTTGTATCTACCTATATATGTACACATCTGTCTGCCTCAATAAAATACAAGCTTCTTGGAGGCAGGACCTACTTCCTTTTTTTTTTTTCCTTTGGCTCCCTAGCATCAGCACATACTTGGCGTATACTAAGCGATCAATATGCTTTGGTTGAATAAGAAAGAAAGTTCTGTTTCCTTTTCTGGTGAGGAAGAGGCTAAAGCTAGGGTTCAGTTGAAGAAAAGAACCCTCAAAAACAGGGCCATTGTTCTCAGAGTCTTTCCAGAAAATTGTCCAGTCTTATGCTGGTGTATGCAATGTTGTATCTGTCCGGGAGGAAGTCACTCTGTCCTCAGAGGGTTCACTGTCATCTCTCAGGGCTCTCTGGAGAACCACCCTGAGGGGCTCCTTCAGTCTCTGATGTCTGAGGCTCCCAATGAAGAAGTAAATGAAGGGGTTGGCACTGCTATTCACACAAGACAGTAAGTAGGAGATCTCATGAAAGGTGTGGTTGTACATTGCTTTCCAATTGAAAACAGAGTGATTGATGCCATGAGGGACAGCACAGAGAAGGAACACAAAGACAGTCAGCAGGATGAGGCTGACCAGTTTTTTGGGTTTATATTTCTGGGCACTCCACAAGATTCTGATGAAGAGAATCAGACTGGACAGGGTCATTAACAGAAGCATCGAAAGCATCAGTGTTCCTGATAATTTACTCATTATGTCACAGCCAGGAGGGGGCAGATTTTCCATCTTTACAACACAGTAGTAAACCTTTGGTAGATTTAGTATAAGGGACAGAATCCAGAGCAAGCCACACACAACCATAGGCCCCCTCTTTGGGTTATGATTTCGATACCATATTGGAAAGAGAATGGACAGACAACGCTGAGTGCTGATTGATGCCAATAGGCCCAGACCTACTGTAAAAGTTACATGTAGACCCATATTTGTTAATAAATAGATGATATTTATAAACATTGGACGGTTTATCAGATAATTGATTACCCAAACTATTTCCAAGAAGACGTAGGTGAGATCACTTCCAGCTAAATTGAGGACATATACTGAGAAGGGAGTCCTTCGAATGTGAAAAGTGAGAAGCCAGAGAACGATTCCATTCCCCAGTACCCCACAAAGGCATATGAACAGAATAATGATCCTCACAACCTCAGTAAAAGTATCGTATGTGCTATTATGTGAGTCACTGGGCCCAGAAGTCTGCTCAGAATGGTTCTGGGGCATTTCAGTGATGAGGTTAGATGACATCATGGACCTTATGCTTGGGACTCCTGTCAACAGAAATGAGAAGGAAATGCATTAGAAAATTCAGGGCTAGTTATCACTGATCCTTCAGCCTCACATCCCAAGTAGGGAAGGACTAATATAGAGGCATATTATAGAAGATTTCACAAGCTTTTCTAATTCCCTGTTTCTTCTCACAAGCCCCCACCATCACTGTCAGCTATGGTGCATTGAAGGTGTGTTTGCTCTGGTTGAGTGACCATCCAGCAATGACTCTATGGTCTACATATCTTTCCCATCAATGGACCAGTGCTTCAAATTCCACCTTTAGAATTAAAAACAAATTTAAGACTACTAAAATATATAGAGAATTAAGTCAAATTTATAAGACTACAAGCCATTCCCCGATTAACAAATGGTCAAAGGATATGAACAGACAGTTCTCAGATGAAGAAATTAAAGCCATCTATACTCATATGAAAAAATGCTCTAAATCACTCTTGATTAGAGAAACGCAAATCAAAACAACTCTGAGTTACTACATCACACCTATCAGATTGGCCAACATGACAAAACAGGAAAATGATAAATGCTGGAGAAGATGTGGGAAAATTGAAACACTAATGCATTGTTGGTGGAGTTGTGAAATGATCCAACCATTTTGGAGAGCAATTTGGAACTAAGCCCAAAGAGCTATAAAAATGTGCATACCCTTTGGCCCAGCAATAGCACTTCTAGGGCTATATCCCAAAGAGATCACACAAATGGGAAAAGGACCCACATGTGCAAAAATATTCATAGCAGCTCTTTTTGTGGTGGCAAAGAATTGGAAATTGAGAGGATGCCCATCAATTGGGGAATGGCTGAGCACGTTGTGGTATGTGAATGTGATGGAATACTACTGTGTTATAAGAAATGATGAAAAGGCTGACTTCAGAAAAACTTGGAAAGAATGGTATGATCTGATGCTGAGTGAAATGAGCAGAACCAAGAGAACATCGTACACAATAACAGCCACATTGTGCGATTACTAATATTGATAAACTTAACCCTTTCCAGCAATACAAGGATCTAAGACGTCTCCAGAGGCCTTGTGATGGAAAATGCTATCCACATCCAAAGAAATAACTACGGAAGTTGAATTGCTATTTTTTTCTCTTCTGTTGAGTTTTGTTTCCTCTTCCTGATGGTTCCTCCTGTTGGTTTTAACTTTCACTTACAACATCACTAATGTGAAAATACATTTAATAGGAATGTGAATGTATAGCCTATATCAGATTGTGTGCCATCTTGGGGAGGGTGGTAGGGAGGAAGGGAGAGAAAAATTTTAAACTCAAAAGCACATGGAAGTGATTATTGATAAATGAAAATAAATTAATTAAAAAAAAGACTGGGCCTCCCTATCCCATCCAGGCTGGAAGTGTTGGAGATGCTCATAGGCCAAATCCCACTACCTATCAGCAAGAAAACTTTGACCTGTTCAATTTCTGGCCAATTCACCTCTCCTTAGGCAGCCTGTACAGCCTCCACACCCCATCCTTGAAGGTTTATCATATCAATGATGCACATAGTATGAACTCCTGATGGGTTTTAGCCCTATTGCAGGTCAGAGCTCTTGAGCTCCAAAAATTTATTATCTTCAGCCTCTCTAGGAGCTGGAATTATAGGAGTGTGAGCCCATGCCTGGTCAATAATCAACATGATAGCTAGCATTTCTATAATGTAGTAAAGCTTACAAAGTGTAAACAAGAAAGATTTTTTTCTCTGTTTCTCCTGTGTTAAGCACAGGTCCTCGACCATAAAAATAGATGCATATTAAATCTTGGTTGGTTGGTTGATTGCTACGAACACCAAGGATCTATACACATCAGGGCTAGGTGTTGCCCTCACTGCAGCCATAATATGTTACTGATCTGGAGACATTCAAAAGACCAACAATGACTAGACAGGGGCAAAACAGAAAGTATCCCTCGGGACCATCCCTGCCTAACTGGGGCCAGGAGAGGAGCCTCCAAATCCAGCCCTGGAAGAGCAGGAAAGGAAGAAATATAAGCAGGGATGTTCCAAAGGAGCCAAGAAGATACAAAGGAAGATAGCCAGTTTGAACTTTTAAAAGTGCAATCCATGAAACAGAAGAAGGCTGAAAATACAGAGGAGCTTCACTAAGAAAGAAGGAGTGATAGAATGAAAGCAAGGCTTGTTTCAATTAGTAGTAAATTTGAATTGCAAAAAAAAT